CCATTCCCAAAGTCTCTGGCAGTGGCCTCAGAGGGCAACCATGACTAAATTTAAGTCTCAAGCTTTAAACAACATTAATTATTGCCCCAGAGGAGTGGTCTCATCTCTGGGTTGCACTGGTTTTGCAGAATTAGACTCCTTTGGTCCAGGGCCCATGTGGAGGTCATATCTGCTTCCAACCTGGTTTATTTCTAGGGTCATGTGAGAATCAGACAGGTAGCCAGAGGTTTTAGCCTTTCAGGCATAGGGTTAGTAACCACTTGCAGCCTGGAGAGTGCCTCTCCTTCCTTTGGGAGCCCTGACTTCACAGCTACTAGCTACAATTTGCTTCCCCAAAGGGTAAAACTGAATGAATGCTTTGCTAGGAAGCAACAGCCATTCGTGACTTCAGAAGGTCTTTCTCTGGGGACTGCAGTGCTGGACCTTTAAGGTCCAGGGAGTGACTCCTGGGGTGGGGAGGGAACTCTCTGCTGCCTGGGAGAGAAGGAGGAGAAGGAGGAGTAGAAGAGAGAGCACACTGGTGTGATACCATGGCAACACTGAGCACTCCAAAATGGATTTATTGAACTTAAAGATTAATATTCAGGAAAACAGAAGGACAACTTCCTCTGGGCTGCTCACAGATCCCTCAAAGTTGGTTCACATGACAATTGTGCTGAGTGGATTGAGACATGGTGGAGGCACCCACCTGCTGGGAGATGGGGAAACTGAGGCAAGGAGCTGAGAGGAACTATTCAAAGTCACCAACCTTGTCACCAGCAGCTCCACAAACAGATCAATGTTCATTTATTTACTTGGACCAAAAGAAGGTACTGAGTTCCTCCTATGTCCCAGGTGCTGGGAGCGCAGTATAGATGAGTGAGAGTTTGACTGGTCTCATAGTAAGTGTGTAAACTTACCCTGTGCCAAGCTGGGTGCAAGCATATGCAACGTACTTCTCTATCATTCACAAAACCCCAGCAGCCATGTTCCTCTAGCTCAGGTGGGGAAACTGAGGCTCAAGGGGATTGCATCACTTACCAAAGTCACAAACTTGGGGGAGCACAAGGTGTCTCTACTGTCTCTACCTCTCTGCTACATTGTCCTCCACACACTCAGCTTGGGCCAAGATAGCCCCATCACTCAAACCTGCAGGAACAGAGTTCCTGGGATTCTTGAGAGGAAATGGTGCTGGGAATATGCAACCTGCTGGCAGCAGGTCCCCGCAATAGAAGGACACTTGAGTCATGAAAACTATAGTGGGAAGCGGAACCTGCTCTATAGTCAGGAAGATTCAAGTTGAAAGGACAGTTGCCTGACTTCTCTTAGCCCTGGTGTCCCCATCTGTGCAATGGCACGATAAGGTGGCTGTGAGCTAAAGTGAGCCAAAGTTTGTGGAGATTTCTGGCCTTGCCTGGCTCAGTGAGCTGTGGAGTCACAGGCAGAACCTGCTCCCCAGGTATTTCTGGCTCTAGTACACGAGCTCTGGCACACTGGCGTATCCCACAAAGTACCACTTTCCTCATCCCCAGAAAGCAGGGGAGGCCAACCCTGACTCGTCAAACACCACCCTTTCTTAGGGAGAAGGCCAGGGGACAAGGCCCATGAACTACAGGCAAGGACAGGCACACTAACCCCTGTCCAGGGAGTGTGCTGTCACTGTGGTCTTTCCAGATAGATCCACCCTCTGGTGCCACCTTAAGTTGTCAAGTCAATCACATGCATTATTACTAACCCAGGGCCTGAGTTTTAACCCTAAAAGTCCCCTGGGAGGACACAGCATCATCTACTCCAGTGGGTCCCAAGCCTGAGTACTCATCAGATCCACCAGGGAGCCTTTTGGACATTCACATGAGAATGTTCCCTTTTGCATGCACACTGTAGAACTCTCCAGTTGTACAAAAGAGAATTTGATCAAGAATTCCCCCAGCATTTCTCTTCTCCAGAAGCAACCACTGTTTCTTATGTACCTTCCAGAAGGCAACCCATGCAAATGTGGGTGGAAGGATTCTGTACATTCAGGGGTGTGCACTCCACACACCATCTTGCTCCCTGTTCTCAGTTATCAGTATATTTTGGGTGTACATATATAAACACAGTCACGAGTCAATGTTTCGGTCAACAACAGACATCATGTATGATAGTGATCCCAATAGGTTGGACCATACAGTCTAGGTGTATAGTCAGCTAGGCCACCTAGGTTTGTGTAATTATACTCTATGATAGTCACACAATAACAAAATCACCTAAAACACACTTCTCAGAAGACATCCCAATGTTAAGAGACATTGTAGCAGGGCATGTGTAAAACTCATTTTAATGGCTGCACAGTATTTCGTGGTATGGAATGGTCTGGTGAGAGGTAGGAAGCCCCAGTAATTATCTTACCTATGGTGGGGGGAGAGGGAATATGGGGAGAGAATGGATCATTTTGGAATCCATTCTGGAGCTCCAAAAATAATGGGAAAAATATATTTTTTTTTTCTATTGGAAAGAGTGTGGGTATGAGTCCCTTTCTAAAGCCAATCTGGGTTTAGTTCTTATAAAAGAAAGTCAAAAAAGAAAGGATTCTGTAGGTCAGATCTGGCATGTAATTATCTTCTCCATCTGTCTTCCTCCTAAATAAGTCAAAATTGAGGAATTTGAATATTTAGGGCTTTTGAAATTTTTTTAAAGATTTATATATTTATGCATACAAGAACTGGGGTACAGGCCAGAGGCGTGGGGAGGGAGGTGAGAGGATTCACCAGAGACAAAGTGGGGAACAGAACAGGCAGATTGACCGAAATACATGGCTGAGGGGAACAGGGGGTGAGTCAGGAGAGGTCTGCAGCACCCTGTGGGTTGCTCCCTGGACAGGGATCGAACTTGTGCTATAGTGGCTACGGACAGCCTCACAGGCTGATTCTTAACCTCCTGCGCCACCAGGGAGGCCCTGCTTTTGAAATTTTAAAGGATCTGGTGATCTTGGTCCAACCTACCACCTGGCAGCCATAGTCTGGCCTTCATAGTGGCTGTCTCTTTTAGACCTGGTAAGCTCTCTGCCTGTTTGCCATAGCCCCCACTATTCCCTACTATCCAGCAGCCCAATAGCCTCATACTATGTAGCTCCTATCTATGTCTTAAAATCTAACTACCATGTTAAAGCCTGAAAAGAGTCAATAATCCAGTGCCTGGCTCTGAAATACATTTCTGTGATTTTGATGAATGGTTTGCCTTCCAATTATAGTTGGTCCTCTGTATTTGCAGGTTCCACATTATTGAACTCAACCAACCATAGCTCAAAAATATGTACTATGTAGTTAGGCCTACAGTGGATGTATCTGTACTGAACATGTACAGACTTTTTTTCCTTGTCTTTACTCCCTAAACAATATAGTATTACAACTATTTGCATGGCATTTGCATTGTACTAGGAATTCTAAGTAATCCAGAGGTGATTTAAAGCATATGGGAGGATGTGCATAGATTCTATGCAAATACTACTATATTGTATATAAGGGACTTGAGAATCTATGGATTTTGGTATCTAGCAAGTCCTGAAACCAATCCCCTATGGATATCAAGGAATGACTAAACTGATTTCCATTGTTAGCTTCTGGCAAAAATTAGTCCCCTTGGGTTATAAGTCTGATATTCTAAGGAATGTGATTTAAGGAAAGCTGCTTGGGCCTCTGAGCCTCTTATTTCCATAGTATTGAATGCAAGGATGGAAATTGTCAATGATGATCATGATGTTTCATGAGTCTACAGGTTCTTTTGCTTCACATGGTGCCAGCTGATACCCTGGAATAGCAGGAAAATCCACAATAGCATCACCACATGACTGGCAGTTGACTCTGACCACTGGCTTGGCTGGAGCTGTCTCCCAGGAATGTTGTTTCTCCTCCATGCTCCTCATGGCTGTTTGTGCCTCCTCGTAGCATGGCAGTGAGGGGCAATGCAAGAAGACAGAAGCTACGGTATCTTAATACCCAGAAGTTACCCAGCATTACCGCCATTTCATTCTATTAATTACAACAGATGTGAGGGCCAGACCCAAGGATTCCATTGGAGGGAAATGGATTCTGCCTCTTGATGTGAACATAGCATAGTCTCCTCACGAAAAAGCCTGGGAGGTAAGGGATATTTGTGTAGCCACTTTGGAAACACAACTTCCTGCACATGGATTTCTACACTGCCTAACATGCAAAAGATCTTCAACAATGTTAGTTTTCATTCATTCAGTCCACATACTTTGAGCAAGCACCCATTGTATTCCAGGTCTTCACTAGGTACTGGGAAGAGGACAGAGCAGTTTCCGGTCATCAGGGCACTCGCAGGTCTTGGTGGGACAGACAGAAGTAAAGCACTCACCACAGCCAACATGGTCAGTGCTTTGAGAGAATGTACGGAGACAGGCAGATGGAACTGCGTTGTGCTAGTGGGAATGAGCCTGGGGACTGGCTGCTCTGCTAGCAAAGAACAGTTCTTTTCCCAAGAATGCTGGACTGGCAGCAGATACCTGGAACTGCGGGAGACAGGCTTGCCAGCACCCACCACGCTACCTATGGGCAGAGCTTGCCACAGTAGCTATGCCAACCAAATACCATTTTTTTTTTTTTTTTTTTTGCTAAAGTTTGGGCTCAGATTTCCCGTACTTCTTATCAAAGACAATCCCTACAAATACTCCATTCATGAGGCACTCACAGTCTAACGAAAGGGGTCCACATCTCGCAAATACTTATGGTTTCAAGTTGTAAGGAAAAATAGAGACATCTAGAGGGTGGGGAGTGCATTCATCTTCTTGGAGGCAGGTAGAGAAGTTCTGGGGATTTTCCTCCACACACATGCCTACCAAATGCTAGTCATATAAACAGATGCTTTGTATGAATCAGTGGAAGGATGGCAGAGGTCTAAGACAAAACTAGTAGAGACCAGATGGCCCTATTTTAAAACTGGCCCCTGCCTAACTTCCACATTATTGAACTCAACCAACCATAGCTCAAAAATATGTACTATGTAGTTAGGCCTACAGTGGTTGCATCTAAAATCAGGGGTTTTAGAATTGGTCGCCTTGGCGTCTTTGTGACTGAAACAGAATCTCCTTATCGAAGGCAGAGTCTTTTAATAGACCTCCAGAGGTTAATGCGCCCGACAGATCTTTGACATTTATTGGATTTTATGAGCTAGTGGATCCAACTCAGAGAGCCGATCAGATGTTCCAAATCGATGGCCCCTTTGGGGTGCTGTCTTTGCACAGAGCCATAATGAGGTGACCTTGGATGCCTGAGTCCAGAAAGAACAGAGAGAGGATGTCAGAATCATTAGGAATTGCCAAAGTGATCCAGGCCTATACAGTAATTCAGGGTGTCTCTGCCCTAAGATGTTTGCCCATAGATTCTGTAATTGCATTTTCCTTCCACCTCACCCTCCCTGAACCAGTCTCCTGGTAAACATATCTCTTCCTACATTCCACAAATTTTGTGGAAAAGCTTCATTATGGTGGCCCTTAAAAATTGAACATTTTTAAGGTGGTGCAGGTAGTTGAGTGCCATGCTGTGAAGCTGTCTGCAGCCTCTGCAGTGGTGGTTCCATCCTGGCTGGCTGGCGAGAGTCCCACATGGCGCGGCAGACCTCTCCTGTCATACCCGCTGCTCCCCTCAGCAGTGTATTTCATCAGTCTGCCTATTCTGTTCCCCACTCTGTCTCTGGTGGGTCCTCTCACCCTCCTGTGCATCTGGCCTGTACCCCAGTTCTTAAATAAATAAATAAGTCTTTTAAAAAAAAAATGAACATTTCCTGGGCCACAGCCCTGCACCAGGTACAGTTCAGGCAAAGGGAAGAATTTTAAGGTAGTTATAAAGCAATCTGATTGTACACCACTTTCAGATTTTTATGATTCCTTCTCTTGCATGAAATCACAAAATGCTGTCACAATTTCCTTCTATTCCCAGAATGCACATTTCTTTCCATCAAGGGGGGATCTCCATTTCCCACTTTGAAGCTGGAAGAACTTGTAACACACTTTGGCCAAAAGAATCCAACAGAAGTGATGTTATGGGGGCCTCCCCGGTGGCGCAGCGGTTGAGCGCTGGGTTGCGAAGCTGCCCGCGGCCTCTGCAGCGCCGGTTCGATCCCCGGCTGCTCCCCGGCCACCAGAGGAGGGTCCCACATGGCGCGCAGACCTCTCCTGCCGCCCACTGCTCCCCTCAGCAGTGTACTTCGGTCCTTCTGCCTGCTCTGCTCCCCGCTCTGGTGAATTCTCTCGCCCTCCCGCGCTTCTGACTGTACCCAGTGCATGTATAAACAAAAACGAACGAACAAATAAATAAATAAATAAATAAAGCATGCCTCTATTAAAAAAAAAAAAAAAAATTTAAAAAAAAAAAAAAAAAGAAGTGATGTTATGGGACTTCGTAGGCCTTAAGAGATCTTGCAGCTTTTCTTAGGCGTCCCCACTGAGAGCCAGCAGCTACTTTCTGACAGATGAGTGAGGCCACCTTGGACCTTCCAGTCTAGTCCATTTAAATGCAGCTCTCTGAAGGAGCTCAGACAAAACAACAATCCATAACATCATGAGAAATAATAGATGTCTTAATCGGCTAGGGCTGCTGTAATAAAACCCCAGAGACTGAGTGGCTTAAACAACAAACATCTATTTCTCATTGTGTTGGAGACTTGAAGTCTGAGATCAGGAACCAGCACTGGTCAGGTTCTGGTGAGGACTCACTTCTTGGCTTGCAGATGGCTGTCTTTTTGCTGTGTCTTCAAAAGGTACAGAGAAAGAGAATGTTCTGTGCCTCTTCCTCTTCTTAGAAAGGCACTAATCAAATTCTGGGGGCTCCACCCTCATGACCTCACCTAAACCTAAGTATGTCCCAAAGGAACAACCCCCAAATACCATCAGAATGGGAGTCAGGGCTTCCACATACAAATTTGGAGGGGACACAAACATTCAATCCATAGCAATAGATTATTATTATTTTGATTTGTAACAAAGCAAAAGATGACTGATATGCCCCTGAACTCGACCAGTGTCTGATAGCAAATGGTTTTAGAAAGTCAGATTTAGTATATTTTCCCTAAGCATGTAACTTAGTTTTCATAAAAACAAGACATACTTTCATTGATTTGTAAGATACTTAATTGCAGAATTATAAGTACAATAGTATAAACAGATTTAAGAACCAACTGCAAGCTGACTATAAGCCCTGAAGTCAACAGAGGGAGCAGAAGGGTGCAAACATGCTCCAAGAAAGCCTGCTGGCCAAAAGCATGTCAGCACACCATGGACAATGATGGCATATTTACTGGAAAAATGCAGTGCACTGGTGAGTCCAGCAACTGTAACACAGGTTGATAAAGAGTTTCCCCCATTGTTAAATAAGAAAAGCAACTACAGAGAAATTCACATGGTGTGACCCAATTTTTAGAAAACAAAAAATAACATACTTGTTCATATTAGCATGAGCAAGGAGAAACGTCTGGAAGAATAAAAACCAGACTGTAATTATTGTTATCTCAGGGATAAAAGCAGAAGTAAAGAAGAAAAAATAAAGATGGTAGCAATATAGTAAATGTTCATGGCATTAAGTAAAAATAAATGTGGGCCAAAACATATCTATAATACTTCTATAATATGTATAACATGAATATGAACACTGATAGTAAACTGGACAAAGAAAAGATGATATCATAATGAATGGTTTTCAGCTTGAATTTCTCTTATTCAGCTTGAATTTCTCTTATTCAGCTTGAATTTCATACAGTCTTTACAATAAAGAGAAGGACAAAGCTATACTCTCATGTATGTGCTATAGTACCCAGCGATTTTTCTGCCAACAATGTGTCATTAAAATCCACCTGAAATCATTCCTCTCTGCTCTTTGCTTGCATATTTTTTGTTTCTATATTTTTCAAAACATGCATTACTTTCTAGCTGGCTTTAATTTTGTACATTTTTACGCCTTGTGATTTGACTATAAAGTGTCTGAAGGCAAAAGAGTTGACTTAAATAACTGGGTATTTTTAACGTGCCAGATGATTGGAAAATAGATTTGGAGAAGGAGGGATTTGATCTTCTGAACAGCACTGAGTGAGCGTGCTGATCAGGGTACAATGACAGCAGAGCCAGGCTTCTAACTACTCAAAACAATGAGGAAATATATCCTCTTACATAACAGGCATCACATCCAGACTCAAATGTCCCCAAAGAACACGAGAAATGATTTCTTCCTGCGTCTCTTTCTTAGGAATAAGGAAAGGTTTTCCAGAAACCCCCACTGGACTTTTCCTTATGTCTCATTGGCCAGATGTGGGTCACATGCCCAAGCCTCAACCAATCACGGGTAAGTGGAAAAAAGGCTACTATGATTGGCCTAGACTACCATCTGTGCATGGTCAATATGCAGATAATATATGTGGAACCTATCATTTGATTTTGAGCAAACCTAAAGTTTGACCAAACCTACACAATTGACTCTTGAACAACACAGGGAAGTTGCAACTCAGGGAAGTCGCTGACCTTCCCTCCCAGTTGAAACTGTGCAGACTTTTTTACTCCCCTAAAACTTAACTAAAGTCATCCCTTGGTATCTGCAGGGGGATTATTTTTAGGACTCCTCCAAATACCAAAATCCATGAATGTCTAGTCCCTTATAGTAGACTCTTTATCCACAGATTCAAGCAACTGACATCCACAGTTGGTTGAATCTGTGAGTTCAGAACTCCTGGATATGGAGAGCCAACTACTTACTAGAAAAAAAAAGTCCATGTATAAGTAGACCCACATAGTTTTCACTGGAGTTGTTCAAGGATCGACTGTACTCTGTTCAACAAGAGGAGTCAAGGGCTGTAAATTTGGTTACCATGGCAAAGTTCAAGTGCTACAGAAGTTTCTAAATATGTCCTCTCTGGTTCTGTACTTATCTCATTACACACCAGTAGAAAATGGTTTGTGGTCAGTTGACCACACTCTGAATAACACTAGTTTAGACCACATAGAATCTCCTCCTAGTCCTAGGATGGGGTTAGCTTCCTTTTGACTCATGTGGAGCTGGGGTGGAGAACTTAGAAAAGGATATTTACTAAGGCAAGGCACAAAAGCAGTTGGGATGGCAACCCGTGGTGTTCCTCATACTACACCTCAACAGTGTCTGCTAGGTGTGACCAACCAAAGGCAGGTCACATTCCAACCACAACTCCAAGTACAACTTCACACACACTATCCTCACTGTCTTTTGCTGTCTTTGCCTTCTCTCTGGGTCAGAATGAGGTAAGTCCCTTTCCAAAGGAATAATCAAGGCTGGAACTAGAGTCTGGGGGGTAGAAAGGCTATTTTGGGTATCTGGTCTGTGTCAGTTAGGATAGGTTTGGTTATAAACAGCTCCAAATTTCAGTGGATAACAACAATGGCTAATTTCTCTCATGCGACATGTGTCCTCTCCGAGGTGGCCCTGCTTCACACCCACCTTATTTGGGGACAGCCCTTATCCAGGATGCTGCTAATTGTGTGGCAGAATGAAAATGTATATATATGGGGGATAAGAAAATGACCTGTAAATCTTTCCCTCAGAAGTAACACACTTCACTCCTTTCACATTTCATTTCATTAACCATAACAATCCCATGGCCATGTCTGAAGTTAATGGAGCAGAGAAGTACAATCCTCCCCCAGAAGGAGCAAGAAATATTTATGAATGGAAAAACAATCTCTCACGGCCTCAATGTCCTGAACCCAAGTGCCAAGTCTGTGGAGAATGGCTCTATTCCCCACATTGTGGGAAGTCTCTCCTGGCTCTGGACTCCAGTATGTTTTGATGTGATTCACCTAACACAATCAATACCCTGATGTGACTTTTCCTGGCTAAATAAATACAGGGGTGGGAAATGGGGGGGGGGGAGTTGTATCTGCTGTGAGCTAGACTCTGCTAAGTTCCCTCCACACATCTTTAAAACTTTAAAACCCTTTGAGGTTATTATAAGGTTACTGTAACTATCCCCACTTTACAGTGGAGGCAATGGAGGCTCAGAAACAGTGAACAACTTGCCCTAAATCTTCAGTGATAACAATCATAATTTATACTGTCATCAATGCTCTCATTAACATGACTGTCTTTCATGGAGGGTTACTCTACTTTACCATATGTAGTGTCAATTTATTTATTCTATAGGTGAAGAAACCAAGGCTTAGAAAGGTACAACAGTCAAACTTGAAAAAAAAAAAAATGGACAGAGTCCAAAGCAGAACTCAGATCTACCCAAATCCAAAGTTCAATCTCTTACCC